GTATATAGGTTTATACAGCAAGAAGGATTATAACAGCTAATTATTCCACACAGCAGCACAGAAGGTTCAGTTCACTTCTGTGGAACAGGTAATATACTGGAAGCCCTTCAATTCGTGTGGGCTGCCTGGTCCAAGGTCAAGGAAGACACCAGCGGAGTCCTCCCTGGGGCCAGGCAAGCAGAGTCTGCCCACAGGCAGCAAGCAGCAGGGTGGGTCTCCAACAGTCAGTAGTTTGGGGGCTTAGTGAGGCAGGCCCAGATGGGATATCGAATGTAAGCAATGCAAGGTAACAGGGTCCGCCAGCCTCAGGCTCAAGCAATGAGCACACCAGCAGTGTGGTGAAGCAGGTCTTGAAGGAACCTCAAGCTCTAGCGACACAATCCATGGGTTGGCTTGGCCCACAGGTAGTGTAGCTCACAGGTTGAGGCAAACAACTAGCTAAAGCAGCAGCACACTCCAGCATGCTCTGATCACCAGAGAGCAAGGGAGAAGGGGGCGGGCCTTGCAGAGCCATTTATCTCTTTACCCTCCAATCAAACTGCAACCTAATTAATCCCACAGGTTCCTATTGGCACAATAAACCTACCACAGTGGCACAAATGGTTAAATGCTGGGCTACTGACCAAATGTTGATGGATCAAATCCAACCAAGGAACCCGAGAAGTGAGGGCTGGCTGTCTGCTTCTTAGAGATTACTGCCCTGCAGACACGATGAAGCATACTTCTTCACTGCAAGCCTGGATCACCATGAGTCGGAATCAACTTGACAGCCACTAACAACAGTATATATATGAGAGGCTACCCCCAAAATAAGAATTTTCTTTTCCTTTCAAAGCTATGTATTTCAATTTTTTTTACAAAACAACCGTCTCACCTTCAAAATACTCTCAATTACACGTAATACATTTGTCAAATCTGCTATTTCATTCTTGGGAACATCTTTCAAACTCATCTGTTTAGATGGCTGACAGCACCTCCCTTGTTTTTCCTTCACCTCTCTACATCTAGTCAAATTACTGTCCTTTCATGTCCCTATTCAGTCGCGGAAACAAAAAGAAGTCTCATGGAACGAGGTCAGGTGAGTCAGGTATGTGGGGCAAAAGAGGCATGCTGTTTTTTGTCAAAAACTGGCGCACTGAGATAGCTGTATGAGCAGGTGCATTGCTGTGATGGCCAAGTGTGTTAGACAGGGTTCTCTAGAGAGATAAAACCAAATTCCTGATAATATATTTATTTATAAAGATAATTAGATATATAACGAGAAATGAA